TAGGGAGGAAAACGTTCCAGGGAGCAGTATCAAATGCTACTGAGAGGTCAAGTTAGAGAAGACTGGAAAACTGAGACGTGGACAGCTGAGTGTGGGTGGGCCAGGTGGAGATCAGTGGGGACCTTAATAGCGAGTCTTTCTGGTGCCCTGGTGGGACCTCAGGCTTAAGTGGAGGGAGTTCAGGAGAGACTGGAGATAAGAAGACATCCAAAACAAGAAGAGACAACTCTTTGGAATCTGTTTTGCTGCAAAGCAGAGGAGAGACATTGGAAGTAGGTAGAAGGGGCTGATGGTCATGGGAGAGATTTCTTTCTTTTTCTTAAGATAAGCGATTATAAAGCAAAGAAAGTGTAGTGACAGAGAAATTGATAAAAAGAGATGAAAATTCTGCTATGAGAGTTTATAAAATCATCAGAAATCCTACATTAGTATGAATGTGTTTAATTGGCTTGCTTTCTACTAATACCCAAGGCCAGTTACACTGAAGGAATGGGGGGCCCTGGGGATTTAAGAAGGCTGCAGAAAGTTTAGAGCAACATGAGGAAAACATGTTTTGAGTTTCAAGCAAGTGGCTTGCAAACAAACTTTTGGAATACAACCAACTTTTAGGCTTAGACTGTTTGCATTACATTAGAATAAAGGAAAAACTGGCTAACTTAATGGGGGCTCATGAGCTGAATAAATTAATTTATGTGATTCCAGATTTCATTTCTTGTTAATCTATCTGACTAAGTAACTAGTCTACGTAATCAGAATGAAGCTCAAAGCTAAATATTGTATTTGTGGCTTATAGTTTCTCACAGGCAATACTGTACACTGTTTTAGAGGCTAGGAGAACATAGTAGAACAGGTATCCTGCAATTTCCATTGAAATTTTATATACATATGTTCTAATTTACAAAGACATCTGCTTTCAGGAAATGTCCAAGTGGCATCATAGTCAGGTAAGATTTAGGAATACTGGGTTGGTGAACTGTAGACTGTTTTCTTATCAGTGCCTAAAAGAATCTTCCTGGGATGTCAGTTAATGCTTAATAAACAAATAAGTGATTAANCAGAGTTGGAAACATAGAGAAGGGAGGTATCAGGACACAGGAGGTATTTAAAACCATTAGGTTATATTGCAGAATAAATTTACAACAAAAAAGAAAAAAAACCCATCAGATTGGATGAGATCACCAGTAAGAGTGAACAGATGAGAGGTGTGAGAGCTCTAGAGCCCTCCAATATAGACAGGCTCAACTTTTGAAAAACAGGAGCCAGTGAAGGAAATAGAGGACAAGGGGCCAATGAAAAGGGCGAAGAGCCTAGTGATCCCTAGGGAGGAAAACGTTCCAGGGAGCAGTATCAAATGCTACTGAGAGGTCAAGTTAGAGAAGNAATAATTAAATTTTCATGTGAATAGAAATGAAAAATTATCCCAAATTATTCTAAAATTATTCTGCTTTGAATGACTTTTGGCCACTTCCTCAAATTAAACATGTCCTCAAAGTGCAAGTATGTGCCATCTATGAGGATATTCAAAGGAATGTCCTGAGACTTAGGAGACAAAACCCAAAGAGCAGTTGCCAATGTGTTTTGCTAAATGGCCGCACCCTTGAACAGGTGTAATCTCCCATGTCATTATTTTGAAAAGGCTGATACTTGCTTGGATGTGCACGTTATAAAAATATGTCACTTTTTTGAGTCAAATATTGTATGGATTTCTCTAGCTCTAAATGTTTAGCAACAACAATTATGATATAGATTAGCAACATTTCTGAGATTTTCTGCTTAGGAAGCTCAGAATTGACACTCAAAATTAATTTTTCTAATTTTAGCAGTTGAATTGGGTGTTCCTATAAAGTAAAGAAATTCATAACTATGTGAACAAAATTCCAAATTAGAAGCTCCAACCAATGCTTTCGAAAGCAGCAGCCTCACTGGGATGCCATGATCAGCTCCAAATGTGGCTTTTTTTTTTAAGGGAAACACTCATTTATATGCATTTCTTCTGAAATATTTACTTAACAAAAACCTCAACCTCTGATTTGAAGTCATACGTAATAGAGCCAAGTCCTCACTGGGGGTTCCATAACGTCTCACAAATTCCGTACGAAATTGATGACAGGAAGGCATATTTTGCTGTGACATTCCCATGTTACCATAAACTGAGGCAGAAAACAATTCATCTGGGAGTTTAACTCAGATTACTTGTATTATATCAGTATCAGTACTTTACCAGCTAGGCTGTACTTCTTATAGATATTAAATGACAACAAAAAAGTTTGATTTAATCATTCCACAATGTATACATATATCAAAACATCACATTGTACCTCAAATATATAATACAAGGGGTCTTCAAAAAGTTCACAGAAAGATTCATATTATGTTTTATTTCTTTTTTTCCACAAACTTTTTGAAGTTCCCTCATATATACAATTATTTGTCAATCAAAAGTAAAATAAATTAAAACAAACCTCCCCAAAATATTTTAAAAAAAATTTTCCAAGCATGCCTTTTCCACATATGTGATTTAAGTAATGATTCACTATAAACACATGACCCACTTATAGGCTTTATATATTTGCACAACTTACATGAACATGCCCTCTGCGGTCATTCGTCTGGCTAGAATTAAATAGGCTCCAAATCGAAACCCTGCTGCATAGGCAAAATATACAAAAGCATGGCTGAATGCCTAACAGCTTCCAATAATCTGTGCTTTCTTCGATGTATTTCTGAAATGCACAAAATTTTCTAAATAATGAGGCATGAATTATAGCAATGTCTAATAAACATGCAGTAATGAAAATAGAGGACTTTGAAATGTTATCATTTAGTGGATATACATTTTTCTAAAGATTAAAGAGAAAGTCACTTTTTTTTACTACGGAGAATTATTATAGAGAAGACAAATGATATAATGATTTTCTCTATAGCTATACACTCTATAGTTCAGTGTAACAAAGTTGCATTTACATACTTTCAAATGAATGGACAAAGTCTGTGAAAGGAAAGCTAATGTAAGAGTTAAAGAGATTTGGTTTAGAGGTATTTAGAAATATCCTATAATTTTCTACCATAATCTTGCATTAATGGAATAAATAGTGGAAATTAAAGGGCAGTACTGACAAGCATGAGTACAAAAGAGTACAAAGCTATCTCTCTTACAAAGTAATACAAAGAAGATCACTAACTCAATGTGATAAAGAGGACTAGTTGAAAAATAAAAGAAGTGAGCACATTCATTGTGTATATATTCATTTAAAAATGCAAACTGTATTAGGGATTTAAGGTAAAGGGCTGAGCAATCTTATTTTCTTTCTTGAATATATTATTTCTTCAATCTTCTTTCAGGAAAATCACAAAAATGTTCATGCTTAGTAACAGACAGTTAATGGTAATGTGGGAAGACCCAAAATATTTATTCTAAATTGTGCTTGTCTTGGATTCTTCTCCTAGTTTCCTCTTGGTGAAGTCATAAGAGAAATTATGATATGCCACTATTAGGAAAGATTCCAGAGCAAATGAATGGGAAGGCAAACCACTGGAGTCATTCAGGAGTACTGTTTTTATGGGACGAAACAGTTAACAGAGTCAGTATGAATCTACAGTCACCTGTGTTGAGTCTTAAGAGTCTCTTCATACATTTTCTCAAAGGCTTTTTCTCTTGTTAATGACACTATAGTATGTATATTCTCCACGACTGCAGCTGCTATCTTATAAAATAGGACAAAAAACATATAAAAAAATTAGTAATGGTTAAACTTATCCTGGTTGTACATTCCAGTCACTTACACTGGAGACAATATTAAGTATATCAAGTAAATAAGTTTTCCTGAGAAGTATTCTTAGCTTTCCTTCCTCTCCACCCAAAATAAGATAGGAAAATGACACTTTAGGAGAAGAGGTTCAAGGAAAACTTCTTTTGAAAAGATTTAGTCCACTGCTGTAAATTTAGCCCCCTTCAAGTCTTTACTGAATTTCAATTTAGACCGGATCCACAGGCAGGGGATCAAACATTAGTGAGTATAACACTCACATGCAAAGGAACTTCCCATATATTATGAAACAATTCAAGAAAAAGATAGCAGAGAGAATCAAATAAATAATTATTTTATCGTAGTACAGAAATGCAAGTAGCAACTAAAAAGGACTCAGGAACATTTCAGTAAAGTAAAATGGGGTGTGGCTATAAAATTCTTCATAAGATAAAGCCATTTCTCTTTTTGATGTCTGTGAACTTTCAATATTTAATTAAAATAAGACTAATGTTTCTCCATATTTACATAATTTTCAAAAAGAATGCATAACTACATGGGATCCAAAATGGAGGAGACTTTTGGCTTAGCATAAATTTTGGACATGAGAACACATGTTGGCTTGAAAGAGAAACTTCCTGTTTTCACAATGTTTCCAGTCTGGCAGAAGAGACTGTGGGGCAGAGGAAAGCTAGGTGGACACCCAGTGTTACTTGAAGAACTTGGGCTGCAGGAAGAACTAGATTTCTGGGTGATGGTCAGGACACCTGGATTCTGCTCTCAATTATGATGTTGAGTTGTTCTAAATTCTTGAAGAAACCTTCATTTGTAACATATTCTGTAGTATGCAAGGAAAATGGATAACAATGCTAAAGGCTTGTTTGAGGAAAAAAAAGAAATGAACAAAAAAACCCCTTTGTGATCATTTTTTACAATGGAGATAGGACTAATATCACTATAAAACCTTAGAAAATAGTCCTTAAAAAAATAAACAAACCAGCAACAGCCTAATATAGCCAATATTTTAAACCTAATATTTTAAATCTGAAAAATGAAACATTTGATTTGTCCAAATCTATACACGTAATTGAAGAACCAATATACAAGCGTACTGCAAAAAGTTCATGGAAAGATTCATATTATCTTTTAATTCTATTTTTCCACAAAATTTTTGAAGTACCCTTGTATTTTATAGGTCTATATGGTAAATTGGTGTTTAGTAAATTGACTTATTAAAAGCTGTAGGGAAAGGACTCAGACTGCCTATTTGATTGGAGTTTCTGTTTGTATAGTGTGAGGTTACTCTAACGGTACAAAAAGGAAAAGTCTGAAGACATATATAACTGAAGCTCATGACAGAAAAAATAAGGCAAGCAAAATATAATGAATCAGGTCTTATTAATTTAGAAACTGTACAAATCACCACAATTTTAAATTGCACAGGGCTAAACAGTTGATCAGAGTCTCTGAGGCAAATATTTGCTAACTGTTCATCCTCTACAGCACAACAAACATTCCAATGGTCCTTATCTAGTGCAAGAAAGGTGGAAAGTTCCACAGGTCAGGCAGGCCAGACCATGGTGAGTCATGTGCTTGGCATCCCTATTCATGAATATTCATGGTATTTATACTGTGCCACCTGTGATGCAGTCACTGCGATACAGACCGTAAATGATATTAAAATCATTTTCATATCCAGAGGGTGTTCACCAATGTGGTAAATATCTTTGAAACTATGTCATGAAAGGAACAACTTAAAGACCTCAGTTTTTTTTTTTTTTTTCCTTTTTGTCTTTTTTCGTGTCCGGCAATGGATCGCAACCCTCGGTGCTGCGCCCACACCTCGCTCAGCCAGTGAGCGGGAACCAGTCTGTATGTGGGATCCGAACCCTCGGCGGGAGCGCTGCCGCACTGCCAAGTGGCGCACTGTAGCAGTGCACCACCGGGCCGGCCTAAAGACCTCAGTTTTACCTGGAAAGCCTGTCTTGAAAAATGGGTTTTGGACCTCTACCAAGATGAAAGCCAAGAAGAGTAGAATAGAAGGTCACCAAAAAAAAAAAAAAGAGAGAGAGAGAAAGAAGAACCGTGTACTGTCCGAGGCTATCCCAGGGTAGGCAGCCTGGGGAAGTAATATGCTGTCTGCCGTCAGAGGGAAAGGGTGAGTAGAAGATGGGTGGACACTTGACAGGCATGTGGCACAAGGGACTCCTACTTTGGGTGAGTGGTTGTATCAAATGACATTTCTTTCAATTCTTAGATGTTATGATTCTACAATGTTTCCTTAAATCTCCAATTCAATGATTATCTTCATGAATATGGTTGATCCTGAGAAGCTTAAATATGTCAAAGCATTTTCCATATAACTAAATAAATTGTTCATTCTGATCAGTATAAAAATGGTCCTTGTCTCTGAAATCTTGTTTTAGGCACTATTGATATCAGTGCATTACCTTGTAGTTAGTAACTCTTACATTTCCTGTTTGTTTTGAAAAATGAAATACCCAGAAGAATTGCTCAAGAAAGTTTAATTATTCAACAATCAGAGAATGGGGAATCGTGACGTTAGAAAACTCACCCATGACATGGTAATAGTAATAATAGGTGACATTATTGAGTGCTTACTGTCTTCCAGACACTATTCTAAGTGTTTTGCATATAATAACACTAAGTGTTTTGTGCAGAACTCACAAAAATCTACAAGTGGACACTATTATTATTCCCACTTTATAGATGAGAAAACTGAAGTCCACGAAGGTTGACATAACTTGTTCATATCATAAACTTGTTAGTGATAGAATCTGGATTCTGACTCAGCCATTTTGACTCCAGAGCCTGTGCTCTAAATCATGTGCCCTAGTGCTATACCATATCTACACTTCATTCTAAACTTGTCTGCATGCATTTCAGTGTATATATGCCACTTTACAGATTCCTCAGAGATGAAGTTAACATACTGCAAAGACGGGAGCTCTGACTTTCTCTTAAAATGTTATGATGGTAATAAAGGTCTTCATTTTACCTTCCCAGCATGCTTAAATTCTTGCTTATCCTTGTTGGCAAATCCAGTCATTGCTGAGGTTTCAATCATTCCTGTCAGAGCAAGTCCTGTCAAAAGCGTCATTTTCCATCCATACATGAAGGAAATGATAACTGACTGTTCCATGTTGAGTTGCATTTTGTGCTAAGACACCAACCCTTGAACCTGTTGACTATAATCAGACAAAATAAAAAGTCAGTTAACTTTACATTTACAAGAATTCCTGTTGTGGTTACTTACAAAACAAGGTGGGCTTTTTTTAAAAATAGGAATTATACTTACATTTATATTTTGAATTTATATGTGAGATTAAATAATACACATATTTTTAAAATGCCCTAGACTAAGGAATCATTATGTTTCATTTTCTGCCTTATGTCAAATATCGAGACATCTACAGAACTGGCTTTTAGCTTGGTGGAGTACCATAGGATAGAACATTGTATAGAAGTGTAATAGAAACAGACTATCTGAAATTAAATACTCCCTGCTTAAAGGGAGACTTTTATGTTGCTCTACCTGACTGCTCTCCTTAAACAGTTCACAGGATTCTGCACCCCAATCCAAGTTAAGTGCATTGAATCTGCAGCTACAGGATTTCTTTTATCTTCTCAGTACACAGCCACGCTCTTATTTCCCCACACCTCATCAAACACGCAACCATGATAAAACACACACACACACACACACACACACACACACACACACACACACACACACACAAATAACCTCTTCAACCCTAACTTATAGATAAGCTCTTGATGAGAAAGCTGAAGCTTGAAAATAGAAGAATCATAGTTATCGTTAAAAAAAGTAAAACATATTTATTTTGATACTCAAATTTTCCCAGATGTAGCCAGTGGAAGTCCCTTCAAGTTGGCTTTGTTGCTCTTTAACTTGTCCCCACCATTCTTTGATAATGCTCTTACTTTCTGACACAAAAAGATTTCCCAGGTTCATCCTGTACTATCTCTGTCCTACCCCTAGAATCAGTCACTTCTCCAAATATTCCTGGTTCTTTTTAGTGGAGAATGTTATTTAGCAGTCAAGATACAGGGCCAGTTGTATTCATTATTATTGGAATGTCAATGGACAGAACTGGGGGATGTGTGTGTGTATGTGCATGTGCACACACACACGTTTAAATCTGTATTTATCTATTTATTTATATTTCTTGAAATCCATGAGTTACATCAATACTTTCAATTCCAACCCAACACCACAGGGTTATTCCCAGTATTCTCTCTGTATTAGTTACCCCTTCTTCATGAGTGAGAAACCTGGCTCCCATTTTCTTTACTAGACTGATTTATGTGATGAATCTCTGTGTGTAACCAATCTGTTATCCTGGCCCCACCTCTCCCCTGCGTGGACACTCTGCTCACCCTGCTGTGGCTCTGCTTTCCACACACCAGGTTGCCACACATGGACGCCTAACTCACCATATCTGGACTCCAAAACAGCCCTGCCCCTTCCTCCATGCTGATGAAGGGACAGCATGGTAGTGCTGAGTTGAATGATTAAGAATATTCATTAAAGTGTATACTTTGAATATGATTTCTCTCAATTGCCTTTTCTGCATTTTATAAATGGGTTTCACTAAGTAAGTTTATAAAGAAGCAATATCAAGACAGAAAAGGAGTTGGAAACATCATGGTATAAGGTAAGATAAAAGAAATTCTAAAAAAAAATCTAATAAGTAGAATTATCTTTGTACAAAGATAATTGCTAAACATGTAGTTTCATAAGAACTACATACCTTATGGATCATTTTTCAGTGGGACGAATAACACTTAATAAACTGAAATGTTAAGTTCTTTAAGTGCTGGGATAAAAAAATGAAGACACCTGTTTACCTAGAAACACAGCCGTATTTTAAAATATATATTTTGTTCTGATCCTGAAAACATGATCATTGGAAAAAGTTTAGATAATTCTAATCTGAATGTGTGTAAATATTTACATCCTTCCAGACATAAATATTCATACACATTCAGATTAGAATTATTGTTTGTATCCTGCTTTTAATCCCTTTGTATTATACTGCAAGCTTTTTCTTGAATCACTAAATATTTTTCAAAAAATATTTGGGTTGCTTCCGGTTTTTCACTATTAAAAAGAAAAATGTAATGAACATCTTTGTGCAAAATCTTTGTGCTCAC